CGCCACACGCGTCACATGGGGGTGACACAGCGGGTGACACGGGGGTCTCGCACACAGAGCACACGCTAGGGCCGCCCCCTTGCACACGCACGTGTCACCCGCCTGCACATGTGCCCAGACCCCTGGGTCCCACGCCAAGTCCAGCGGGCGCCACCGCCCGGGGACAGGGACAGGGCGCGTTTCCAGGTGTCCCACATCCATGCGCTGGCACCGCGGGAACAGCGTGGCCTAGAAAGGGCTGTCCCCAGGGTTGCACACACGTGTGACACAGGCACAACGATGACAGGTACGCAGGTGACATAGGCGCACTGGGGGGGGGACACCCGTGCAGGTGACACCAGCACACTGGGGACACACGCGTGGGTGACACAGGGCACCGTGGTTTGGCAGCAACCCCGGGGATCCCACCCACATGGGGAAGGTCCCGCTCTCACCACTAGCCCAGGTACCTCTTTGATAGTCACGGCTCCTCTGTCACTAGTCACCCCCACCCTGTTGCTAGCCAGGGCTTCCACATCACTAGCCACAGCCCCCTCACCCCTAATGGGCTTCCCCATTGCTAGCCAACACTGATCACTGTTAGCCAGCCTCCTCTGTCAGTAGCCCGAGCTCTTCTCCTGCTGCTGTGACTCCTTCATCACTAGCCAGGGCTTCCTTTTTGCTAGCCAGACCTCCCTCATTGTTTTCCAGCCTCCCCCATCAGTAGCCAGAATGCCCCCACTGCTAGCCAGGGCAACTCCATCAAGATCCAGAGCTCCCCTGTTCCTAGCCAAGGTTCCCCATCGCTAGCCAGGGCTTCCCCCCTGTTAGCCAAGGCTCCTCCTAGGTGCTCCCGGCTCCACCATCATTAGCCAGGGCTGCCCCATCACTAGCCCGGCGCTCCCCTCCAGTAGCCCGGGCTCCCCGCTCACCAGCCCGGCCCGGGGGGAGGGGCTGAGGGGCGGGGCCTGTGCGGCCCCGGCTCCGCCCCGGCGACCCGGGCGGACAAAGACGCTTTGTCCCCGGTCCCGGGGGACCGGCCTCTTCCCGGGAACAGCAGGGCCTTGTGCGCCGGGGCCGCGGCCACCCCGCGTC